GGTCGCCTTAAGTCTCTAAACTGCCCAGATTGGGCTCTCACTTTCAGTCCTCCTGTTTCAGCCTCCTGGAGGGCTGGGATTACAGGCCTGTGCCACCACGCGCACCTACACCTAATGTTGAGCTGTGTCCTTAGTCTTTTTTTGCCCCCGTTCCACTACCTTCAGTTTACCCACTGACCTTAATAAATAACATAACCCCAAAACCCATGTTAAGCAGAGAAGTACAAACAATGAAGTAGGCACACTGATGGCAAGAAGTAGAACGGCGCCACAATAGAGAAATGCCTTGGGTATCCTTCCAAATACCCACCCATTCCATGCCTGGCAAAGTTAAAAGTAGGGCCGGCCAAATAGCTCAGTGGATTAAAGCACTTGCTTAGGTGAATGCAGGGGCCAGGAGTTCCATCCCTGGGTCTGTCATGCCAGCCCTGCCCCTGGGGTGCGCTGAGACAGCAATTGAGACTGGGTGTGGTGACGCACGCCTGTAATCCCAGCACTTGGGAGGCTGTAAACAGGCAGATCACTATGAGTCCTATCTACTCAGTGAGACCCTGTAGACCCTGTCCTAAAATACAAAAAACAAACAACAAAAAAAACCCCCTCAGACAAAACAAAAAACAAACAAACAAACAAAACCAACCAAACAAACAAAAAGCAACAAAGTTAGAACTAAATACTATCTCGATACATTTTTCATTGCTTTTCTGCATTGCCTTTGTATCTCTCTACAGTGGTATCTTGGTTCATGAATGCTTTTATTTTCAAGAAATTTGGTTTTCAAACAGCATTTGGCCAAATTTTGCTTTTGTCTGCAGACTCTGTATCAAGTGGCCAACTTTCCCACACAAACACCATCCTGGCCACTTTTTCCAAAGTTGTAGAATAAGTCAAGTTTGTGAACTGAGGTACCACCTTGTCTCATTAAACAGTAGGGATTACTTTTACCTAGTTTGGAACCAAATGTAAATAAAATTTTAATTGCTTCCCGACACTGCTTGTTCTTTTCACTTTGCACTTATTATTTTGGAGACCATGTCTTCCTCTGCAGTTCAGGTTGGCCTTGAACTCACTACATAGTCCAGACTTGCTTTGGACTCGGGGTGGTCCTACCGCCTCCGCTTCCCAAGTGGGATACGCTGAGATTACAGGAGTGTACCAGAAGGCCAAGCCAGACCTGTGTTACTGTTTTA